AATTATAACCATGGAATATTAGTGTTTGAGCCTTTTATATTCTTACTCTGTCCTGGACATTGTGTTCTACCTGGATTCTACCCACTTGGGAATATATATATATATATATATATATATATATATATATATATATATATTAACCACAAATATTATCAATATATATATATATGTATATATATAAATATATGTACATTAACCACTAATATTATCAATATATATATATAGTAAAGATAACAAATCCGTTGGTATATAATCCAAGTGGATCCTAGTAATATAAAATATTAAAACTGATCTACAAAAAGAGCTCTATGTATTTATTATTACAGATCAAATAAATTAATAAACAATAAAATCCCAAATCACATCATATGAGGAATAAGATTATTTCGACCGACCAAACCATAAAATTCGTAATATCCTATAATGAACAATTATCGCTCTACAATTGTATTGAGCCCTATTTTTAAATTAATGTTGTAAATGTTTGAATTTATATTTCATTCGTTCTCATGTCATTCTGTTATTAGGTTGGTGCAAAAATAATGTTGTTTTTTGACGTTCAACTTCAAAAGATCATAACTCCTTTCATAATAAACTTTATTAATCAAAATAAGAACCATTAGAATCGACACATTTTTGCCAACGAGAAACAAGTTTATTTATCCCATTAGTATAGAAATCCGGAGTTCTGGAAGCGATGAAGTTATTGAAGGACGATTCGGCATCATCTCGGCTTTTGAAGCATTTTTCGCGCAGGAAGTTGTCGAGATGCTTGAAAAAGTGATAATCGGTGGGCGAGATGTCCAGTGAATATGGCGGATGAGGCAGAGTCTCGTAGCCCAATTCGTTCAGCTTCTGCAGGGTCAGCTGGGCAACATGCGGGCGAGCGTTGTCATGGAGGAGAATTGGTCCCTTCATATTGACCAATCTCAGGCACATACGTTGGAGCTTCTGGTGCATTTCGTCAATTTGTCGGCAGTACTTCTCGGCCGTAATCATTTCGCCCGGATTCAAGAAACTGTGATAGATGAGACCGGCCGCAGACCACCAAACAGTCACCATAACCTTTTTTTGGTGCAATTTCGGCTTCGGAAAGTGTTGTGGAGCTTCTCCGGCATCCAACCACTGTGCCGAACGTCGCCGGTTGTCGTAGAGGATCCACTTCACATCACACGTCACAATCCGCTCGAGAAATGCGTCGTTTTTGTTGCGCAGAAGGAGCGTAGAAGACACCTCAAAACGACGATTTTTTTTATTATCGTTCAATTCATGCGGCACCCATTTATCCAACTTTTTGACTTCCCTATTTGCTTTAAATGACGAACGACTGTTGAGTGGTCGACCTCGAGTTCAACAGCAATTTCTCGTGGTTTTGAGGATCGGCTTCAATTAAGGCTTTTCAAATGTTCGTTATCAACCGCAGTCGGCCGGCCGCGATCGTCTTCATCTTCGAGGCTCTTGTCACCATTGCGAAATTTCTTGAACTACCGTTGTGCCACACGTTCGTTAATGGTTCCTGGGCCAAATGCATCATTGATATCACGAGCTGTCTCGGCAGCTTTTCGGCCTAGTTTGAACTGGAACAAGAAAATCGTGCGGATTTGAATTTTGTCCATGCTGTCGAAAAGCCTGCAAAAAAATGAATGAAGAGATTGAGAACGGTAATGAATAACACGATTCGATAGAGCGAAAAACGCGCTTCAAAATGATATATAACATGGCTATATATATATCAATGAATTAATTCAGAAATCATATATAAAAGTAACATATGTGAGAAAACGACATTATTTTTGCACCAACCTAATATATATATATATATATGTGTGTGTGTGTGATGTATATGTGTGTGCATGCGCGAGTGATCCCACATACACACGCACATATATATATATATATATATATATATATATATATATATATATATATATATATCAAGTTTCATTAATGACAGCTGCGATTTTATTATTAATATTTAATAATTATTATTTTGATATATATATTTTATTATTTTATATATGTATTTTATTATATAATAATTATTTTATTATTATTAATTTACATGAATGTATCAACTTAATGATTTGCGGCTGTGATGCACTGGTTAACTTCAGAAAATTATCATGGATAAGGATAATGGCGTAATGTTCTCTCTGTACAAGGCCCGGGGCCACTCGAGGTAGAGGATTACGTTAAGGGGTAATTTATATAAATACGAGGTGACGATAACGGTTGACGCTAGACTTGAATAGGTTAAGATTGTAGTGATCGCGGAAACAATATGTTGGGGGTCTGTTCCACGGGGCTGTGGTTCCTGGGAATAAGCTGTTTCAGTGGAACTGACTTATCGCCAATGAAATACGGCGGGGATGTAAATGGTTTGCTATAATGTAAATAGCATGGCGGGTCCTAGCCGTGAAGATTAGAACTGACAGAACCATAGAATGTAGTTCGTCCGAGCATGAAGCATGAAGCCGGAAAGGAATTCCACAAGAAAGGTAGTAAAGCCACTGAGACACAAGAAGTTACAGGGTGTAGAAGAATTAGTAACAGAAACGTTAATAATGAGCAGGAAGAGAAAAGAGTAATCAGGAGGACAGTAGATAGCGATTGACATTACATTTAAATTTATGAAGATTAAATTTTGCTGGAAAGCATGAAGCCGCAAGAGAGAAATGCGAGAAAAGAAACTGGTTACATCTAGATATTTCAACTCTAAAATGATGAGACCTTGCCGCCAATTCAGTACTGCGCTTAAATTCCTAACGTCTAGGTACCATAGCGAAAAGCTCATGGGAACAATTGTGAAATTAATTAACGAAATCCGGATGTGAACAAAGAATAATTTTACGTATCAGAGGTTTCTTTTTAACCATTTCATCTCGAAAAAGGCGATAAAGTCATTAGGATGCGAGTTGAGTGGTACTGAAAGTGTAGGAAGCTTAGAACACGTTATTGGGGAGAAAGGACAATTAAAGAAAAGGAGAAACATGACGATGATTCAATAAATGGTTCAATAAATCAAGAAACTGGAAGAGGTTTCCATATGTGTCAGAGAAGAAATTGTCAACATAGAACATAACGGTGACATCTAGTAATTTTAACAGTAAAATAATGAGACCTAACTTCTAATCTAGTACTGTGCTTAAATTCGTGAATACGAGGTACAAAAGAGAGGAGCTCATTAGAACACTTACCATGAAAATATTTACAGAAAAATCACAGGGAAGAAACATTATGGCAATGAGAAAGTGATTGAAGCCGAGGACTGACAAAATTGCAGAATCTTCTTCAGATTAAATCTTGTGTTTTTATTCTTCTTTATAATGATAACCTTTACAAATGCCACCCTAATTGAAAATAAAAAGAACATAATTCTTCCCGGTGTAAGTACTTCGAGGGTTTACCAATAAATATTTTACCAACACATTAAAAACATATTACGTCACCAACTTTTATTGAATCCATTCTTAAAGAATTTAACGTATGTCTATCCAAAACAAACGCATACATAAAAATGTTCCCAAATCAGAATGTGAAAAACTACTAAATATAATGTCTACTAGAGATACACACATTTACGAATATGCATTTTCATTTGAACTTCGAAGGGACGTGTCGTCTCTCCTTGAATTTCGAATGCTTTAAATTATAGCAAGTCAAATGCACATAAAACTTGATTAACCAAAGAAAATCAAACCCAAAAATAAAAAAAAACAAAATGTCTTCCTTCTTTTACTCCATATCTTATTCTTTGGTGAAGCTTTAATAAAAAAGCAAACGTATAAGATTTCCTATTTTTGCTTTATCTTAACAGTAATAACATTACAGCATAATTTTTAATGTACTTGACTGTTTTTAAAACTTTTGTTCAAAACTGTATAATGTTGTATGGGATTAATATTCGCCATAGAATTAAGTTTATCACCAAGAATGGAGATTAAGTTAAAAAAAAAAACATTTGATGTGAAAACTAAATGCATCATTAGGTTACATAGTTATTGATTTTACTACGGTGTTCTTGTCTCTGTGTGTTTTCCCTACTCTGTTCTCTTTTTTCCTACTCTCTTTAAACTTTCTCTCTCCCTCTCTCACTCAATCGCTATATATATATATATATATATATATATATATATATATATATATATATATATATATATATATATATATATATATATATATATATATATATTTTTTCCTTACTAATCGATCAAACTCTCGACCGATCAATCGATCGCTTATTCCCTCTGCGTCAATTACTTCGTGCCTATTTGCATTAGTAATACCTTCACTTCGACACCCGCCACCCATCTGTTCTCTTCCATCATATACCCCGTTTCTTTCTCATTGTTTTCTTTCCGTGCATGTCATCCACCACCCCAACATACACACAACTTCTCAATCAACTCCTCGCCCCCACTCTCTCTTTTTCTCTCTCTTCTTTCTTCTCTTTACCCAGAATTCCTTCTTCTTTCGACTTCTCTCTGAATATTGCCAATTTTTTGTTGTTTTCTCACTCGAATTCACACGTTCAGCGGAATTTTTGTTGTTTTTAATCCAAATTCAATTCACGCTTTGAGCATTTAAGCGTGAACGTAGAATGAAACAAAAAAAAAAACAAGATAAAGTCCAATGAATATTTAATGGCGAAACAAAAAGAGAAGAATGGTAAACATGTTTTGAGAAACACCCCTCCCCAAAAAAGAAACATTTGAAAAGAAAAAGAAAGAAAGAAAGTGACAAACAGGAGTGAGTAAGGAGAAAGGTAAAATTAAAGCCGTAACAGAAAGAAAGAAAGAAAAAAAGAAACAAAGAAAGAAAGAAAGAAAGATAATATGAGAAAAAGAGAGTAAAATATGCAAAAGAAAAGAAAAAACAAAGGAAGACAAAATGAATGCGATAAAAGACAGAAAAGTTGAGCAAGAAAGAAAGTAGGAAAAATAACTAAAAAACAAAGAAAGAAAGGACAGATAATAGGAGAAAAAGAAACAAACAAACAACTAAACAAAGAAAAATAATAGGAGAAAGAAAGAAAGAAAGAAAGAAAGAAAGAAAGAAAGAAAGAAAGAAAGAAAGTGACAAACAGGAGTGAGTAAGGAGAAAGGTAAAATTAAAGCCGTAACAGAAAGAAAGAAAGAAAGAAAGAAAGAAAGAAAGAAATAAAGATAATAGGAGAAAAAGAAAGTAAAATATTCAAAGGGAAAAGAAAAAAACAAAGGAAGACAATGAATGCGATAAAAGAGAGACAGAAAAAGTGAGCAAGAAAGAAAGTCGGAAAAGAAAGAGAGAAAGAAAGAAAGAAAGAAAGAAAGAAAGAAAAAACAGATAATAGAAGAAAAAGAAAGAAAGAAACAACTAAACAAAGAAAGAAAAATAATAGGATAAAGAAAAAAAAAGAAAGAAATGATTAACAAACAAAAGAACAAACACAATAAATAAAATTTGAAATGACAGAAGAACGAAACAGAAAAGGCAACAGAAAAACAGAACAGAAACAAAAGAAAGAAAGAAAGAAAGAAAGAAAGAAAGAAAGAAAGAAACAAAGAAACAAAGAAAGAAAGAATCTATTAAAAAGAAGTGTTGAAAAGAATCTCAAAGATGTTGGCAAAGAAATAAGGAAGAAGACGAAATTAGAAGTAAGGATAATTTAATAAGAAAGAAAGAAAGAAAGAAAGAAAGAAAGAAAGAAAGAAAGAAAGAAAACGAAAAATAATGAACGAAAAGAAGAAAAGGAACAGAAACAAGAAATACAATGTCAAAGAAAGAAAGAAAGAAAGAAGAGTTGAGAAAGATTAAAGAACGAAAAATTATAGTTGAAAATAAATAAATGAAAAAGGAATCGTTGAGAAAAAAAGAAAGAATGAAAAATACAGCGAAAAAGAAACAAAGAGGGAATCAAATATTGAAAGAAAAGAAAAAGAAAGGTAAACAAAAAAAGAAAAGGAAAGTAAGTAAGAAGGAAGATAAAAAGGGAAGAAAGAAAGGTAAATGCAGTACGGAAGAAGTAAATAAAGGAAAAAGAAAAGGAAACTAAATGAGAAAGAAAGAAAGAAAGAAAGAAAGAAAGAGAACTTCAACGAGAAAGAAAGAAAGAATACAGTGAGAGTGAAAAAAGTAAGAAAAAAAGGAAAATATAGTGAGTTAGGAAGAAAGAAAGGGGAATACAGAGAGTAGGAAACAAATAAAAAAAAAGAAAGAGAAACAAACAGACAAATAAAATCTCATCAAAAACTTTAAATCGATGTAAGAAAGGAATTTGGGGATCTTAATGAACAGATCTCGAAATAAACAAGCAAACAAGGGTAGCGAAAAAATGCACCATTCTGTAGATGGTGATGGGGAAGTACGTGGTAGGGCATGATACAAAAGAGAGGTGGGCGCTGTCTCCACTAGAGACATCGTAGCGTACCCTGACTTCCTAGCTCAGTTTCATGAAAAATTTGTCAAAAGGACGAGACTTCAAGGACAAATTAGAAAATTCGTAAAATATTAACAATAAGGATTTTTTTTTAATATAGTTATGAAAACAAGCCGAGAAATACGATTGTGGATATGCCGCTGTCGTCGTCGACGTTGAGCCGCTGGTGGTAGAGGTGGTGGAGGATACGGCTATGTTGTTAATGAGGATATTGGATAATATGTTATATAATCTCTGTATATCAGACTAATGACTACAATCCGAAATAATTCATCTAAATTTAATATAAATCTTTCTACAACTACTTCAGAAAATGAAGCAAGATATTTACACTATAGACAGCAAGCAATGCCACAAGAAATACATAGGTAAAACTTCTAGGAATTCAAATAAATGAATATATTAACATAAAAAGGATATTTTATGAAAGAACATACTTATTTATTCATCGTAATGAGTCTGACCATAATTTTGATTTAAATTCAATTTTAATTAAATTTTAGGGAAAAAAGTAGGTACAGTTCCAGTTTACTTCTAGAGCAGTGATCCTCAATATGGGGTTGTTGCGTTCTGTGACGTATCAGGATCCCCACGCATCTACATAAAACGGTATGAACGAAAAGGGTCATTTATTTTTTATATTCGTATTATTAAGAGTGGCAGATGGGATTCTAAGAGGCAGTAGGAGGAATAACGTCCCAGGGACGCATGTTGCACGTTGGCTCAGCCTCCCTTTGCAGATGGTGTTAGCGGCTAACAGTTAGCCGGTCGCAAACATAGGTGTGGGAGACACATCGACACTTCAGAATTCTTGAGGCCCTCTGTTGAATTCGCGCTGTTTTGGACTTATATTCAAAACCCAGACAAATCCATCACTGTCACAATACACCAACCAAGAGGCACTCCTGCAAATTGTAGACAATTCTGGCCCTGGGCTTCGCATTCTGTAATATTATACAATAAAATGAATTGCAGGTCATTTTGCTTTAAAATGTATTGTTGGTAATTTTACTATATGCATTGTTGGTAATTTTTTATACAAAAATGTATTGCCGGTATTTTTACTATAAAAATTTATTCATATACTTTCATAGTATTGGGGGGGAGTTTTCACTATTTGCCCATATTATTATTATTAATATTATTATTATTTCACTTGTTTTCTGTTGTATACACATTTCCTTCCATCTCCTAACCAGAGAAATAGCTTCATGACGTTTTCCTCTTATCTCTTATCATATTTGTAAAACATATTACACATTATATATAGATAATATGACGGCACTCTCGATTTAAAGTTCTAAGTAAAGATCTCACACTAGATATACACATACATATAAATATAAAACCGATTCTACCGATGCTAATTCCTTTTATCCTGTTATACGGAGATGCCAAAATCTATTAACTAGGAAAATTTAGAAATCTTAGAAGTGTTTTTGATATAGGACGAAAAATCTGACAGCAGAATGCGAAAGCACATTGGAATTTGCGAAAGGAGGTTTTCAAAAGCTAAGCAAAGTATTAAGAAACGGGAAAATTTCATTAGAACATAAGAAGAGATTGCTGAAGTATCACGAAATGTCAGTTTTCTCATATGACAGTAAATTCTGAACAACCACGGAAGAGGTGGCTTCAGACAACAGAAAATGTGGTTCGACAGAAGGATGCTGAGAATACGACTTATTTAACGAGGAATTTTTAAAGAAAATGGAAATAAAAAAGACGCTTATACTTATCAGAAATAAGTGTCTAGGACACAGTTGAAATTTCTACGACATAGTGAGAACGGAAGGATTAGAGAATTTAACACTTACAGGATACACTGAATACAACAGGGACGGGGGAAACAACGAATAGCCTACTTAACGACTTTGTGTAAATGAATGTTGGAGGAGGAGTTACTGGGTTTTGGAGAGTCGTGTAAGGACAGGGTACATGGAAGTATTTTTGTGACAGAAATATCTGTAACATTTTGTTGTGCTGGAGTTATCACCCTTGTACTAGCAACACAAACCAATTATAACAATAATAAAAGATAGATAGATAGATAGATAGATAGATAGATAGATAGATAGATAGATAGATAGATGCGATCTTCAGACCATGTCCTCTGACATTCACCATGCAGTGTTCATTTCTATGTTCCACACATAGAAATGTTGACACATAACCAAAATGAAATCGAAATATCTTTATTGTTATATTTACATTGAAAAATCCAAATTTAAAACGATAGATGCTTCTGTCTAAGCCTTTTTCTGGTTAATGTAAATTTCCTTTATACTATCTTTTTAAAGCTCAGATTTTTTTTCCAGTTGTCATTTTATACCAATTTGTCTGGTCAACAGTATTGATCTGGGAATTTAACTATATATATATATATATATATATATATATATATATATATATATATATATATATATATATATATATATTAGTCGCTTGATGTTTGTTTGTTTTTTTGACTAAGGACTTAAAGCACTTGGCGATTTGTTTCATCTTGTTCTGGTGTTTGTAAGTCTTTCTTTTTTATTTCCCATTTTCCTCAGGTACCGATTTGTACTGACATATCTGCAAGTTGAGCTATCCGAGGTTTTCCAAACGAGTACTACTATTAATATATATATATATATATATATATATATATATATATATATATATATATATATATTACCTTGAAGATCCGTTCAGTTTAAAACTAGGGAGTTTGTTCCTGGCTCTTTAGAATTTCTTCTATTTAGCCCAGCTCTACTTAGTGTATTCAGCACTCTATGTTTTAGCATTATTACTCTTTGGACTAAAAACTTCAGGAACCATTTATTTGCCCTGTTTCAATGTTTCTAGTTCTTTCTTTCTTTTCCAATTTTTTTCCTCGGGTACCAATTTGTTTTGATAAACTTACAAATTGTGCTATCCGAGGCTTTTTCCAACCCAGTATTACTATTAATATAATATATATATATATATATATATATATGTGTGTGTGTGTGTGTGTGTGTGTGTGTGTGTGTGTGTGTGTGTGTGTGTGTGTTAGTTGTGTGCGTATTTCTGATTTATATACATATATATAATTTGTATGTGTGGGACTTTTTGGAAAGTGCTCAATATCAGTGATAGAGTTAACATACATAGTTGTATGGATTGAGTTTCACGCTTTTGCCATCCTCAGACCGCAAAAGTGTGAAACCCAGGCTTACAAACTCACATCCATACACTAAGTACATATATATATACATCCATACACTAAGTATATATATATATATATATATATTGTGAATAGCTTTCATAAAATAAAATTTCAATTTATGCCTTCAACTCTATGTTACAGAAAGAAAATAAGCAGGAGAATACTGTTACGGGCAAAAAACAATTACTTTTTTTCCTAATATTCATGGATAGAATACCAAGTACATATAAAGCAGTAATTAAGGCTGGTGGTGATTTTATTTACACAAACAGAATATGATGCTGTTGTAGGCTATTTTCTTTATAGTTAAGTATTTATTTATTGTCAAAATCAAAGTAATTACCTCTGTAGTTACTGAAATTTCATGTCTTTAAAGAAATAACAGAAATCTCTCATTTGATGTGTGCTTTTTGTTGTTTTTTTTAAAGAAAAACGAAGTAGCCCCAGAAATTTTCCTGGTAATATACGAAAGTACAACACACACACACACACACACACACACACACACACACACACACACACACACACACACATACAAAATCTGAATTTAGCAATTAAAGATTGTGTTGTAAAGGAAATCAAGTCGTGCTACCAGTTAGAAAAGAATATATATATATATATATATATATATATATATATATATATATATATATATATATATATATATATATATATACGGATGATTACATATTTAATATGAAAACTGACATGTCAGAATAAAGCGCCTACACACACACATGACTATATATATATATATATATGTGTGTGTGTGTGTGTGTGTGTGTGTGTGTGTGCGTGCGTGCGTGTTTCGAAATTAGACGATTCCGCCGCTATACTGTTGCTGTTATTAACAATGTTCTTTAGGTCTAGATTTAGATTAGAAAAAAAGCGGGAAAAGAGGAGAATATGGCGGTAAAATCTAGCGTTGTTGTTTATGCAGCTTCGGACCTGAAGGTAAATTTCATCGCTTTCATTTCTCTTTTTTCTTTCCCTTTCTCCTTATATTTTTCTTGTTCTCTCTTCCTTTTAAAGCCTGTGTGGGTCTGGTTTTGTTTCTCTCTTATTGTTTTTTTTTGGGGGGGGCGTATTTGTGATGGTGATGTTTGATGGTTGTTTATTAGGATTGGGGTGATTTTTATTGCTTTTTTTGTGGGGTTAGAGGTGGAGCCTTTTTTGCTGATGTCTCTTTTAGGGGTATGGAGAGCAGTTGGTTTTGGGGGTTGTTTTTAGGGGGCTTTGCATGGGGTGTTGTTCTGTGGGTTGTTTATTTTTGGGCGGGGGTATTTTCTTTAGTTGATGCTTGTTTTTTTAGTTCATGCTGGTTAATAATACAGGGGTCCTCGACTTACGAGAGAGTTCCGTTTCTACGATGCGTCGTAACGCAATTTTCGGTGTAAGTCGAAAAGGAACTTACACGTGATTTTCCATCAATAAGCACTGACGTCACTCATCTATGCTAACGCAACAGTAAAGTAATAATTTAGGAAGTAGCGACACATTTATATGACAAAGGTTAACATAATTAGGACTAAGATGAGGTATTGTTACTATTTACCTTATTTGGTCTGATGTTCTCATCTTTATTGTCATATTCACAACGTTTCGGCCATTGTACACCCCGGACTTCTTCAGGTGATATACGTTGGAATTTCGAATCGAATCCTTTATTTAGTCCCCGGGGGTCTCATTCCGCTCTTCTTAGTTTCAGATATTTCTCTTTAGTAACTCAACTCTCTAAGTTTTTGTTCAACTGATCTCACATCTCTGATTCAAGCTACTGGGTTACTTTAACAAACGCTTTTATTCACTGCGCTATGTGTCCTTGAGGACATCAGTGAATTCGGTTTTGGAACTTATAAACCTAATGTTACAGCAACTTTTTTTTGTCAGAGCTCATATTGCAATCTATTGTCATTGTTGTTGTTTTTTTTCTCTAATATTCTGTATTGCTGGTTCCTATATTGTATTCATGTCTTGACTGGCTTAGGAGATTTTTGTGACTTAGCACAGGCGCTGATTCCTCTCACAGTAGAAGGGAACAAAAACATGGACAGTTGAGTTACTAAAGGGAAATAACTGAAACTTAGATATCCAGAAAAGGCGCGGCACGTGGAACGGGAACAATCAACCCTTATGGACGATATAAAGAGTTTGGTTCGAAAATCCAACGTGTATTAACTGAAGAACATACTCAATGCATTATTTATTCATCGTAATGAGTCTGACCATAATTTTCGACATTCCAACCACCTGAAGGCCAGAGCGTACAACGGCCGAAACGTTGTAATAAACATGGCGACAAAGATGAGGATAATAGTCCGAATAATGTAAATAGTGTACATAATACCTCATCTCAGAAATATAGACAGATACTGAAAGGCCGAAACGTTGTAATAAATATGGTGACAAAGATGAGGACAATAGTCCGAATAATGTAAATAGTGTGCATAATACCTCATCTCAGAAATATAGACAGATACTGAAAGGCCGAAACGTTGTAATAAATATGGTGACAAAGATGAGGACAATAGTCCGAATAATGTAAATAGTGTACATAATACCTCATCTCAGAAATTTAGACAGATACTGATAGGTCGAAACGTTGTAGTAAATATGGCGACAAAGATGAGGACAATAGTCCGAATAATGTAAATAGTGTACATAATACCTAATTTAAGAAATATAGACAGATACTGAAAGGCCGAAACTTTGTAATAAATATGGCGACAAAGATGAGGACAATATTCTGAATAATGTAAATAATATACATAATACCTCTTCTCAGAAATATAGACAGATACTGAAGGGCCAAAACGCTGTAATAAATATGACGACAAAGGTGAGGACAATAGTCCGAATAATGTAAATAGTGTACATAATACCTCATCTCAGAAATTTAGACAGATACTGATAGGTCGAAACGTTGTAGTAAATATGACGACAAAGATGAGGACAATAGTGCGAATAATGTAAATTGTGTACATAATACCTCATCTCAGAAATTTAGACAGATACTGATAGGTCGAAACGTTGTAGTAAATATGACGACAAAGATGAGGACAATAGTGCGAATAATGTAAATAGTGTACATAATACCTCATCTCAGAAATATAAGAGACCATAATTTTGTTTTAAATTCAATTTTAATTAAATTTTAAGGGAAAAAAGTAGGTACAGTTCCAGTTTACCTCGAGAGCAGTGAACAATGTTGTTGTTGTTTATGCAGCTTCGACCGAAACCGAATATGACAATAAAGATTCGGACAACAGTCCGAACAATGTAAATAGTTACAATACCTCATCTCAGAAATATACACAAATTTTCTTTTTAATTGCTATTTTCTTTTTTTTTAAAAATCCTCGTTGCGTATCCAGTCGATGTTATTCTCAGCATTCTTATCTAGAATTCTTATCTCTGCTTCCTGAAGTCTTCTCTTCATCTGTGTGGATAATATCCATCCTTTATTACCATATAGGAAGATTGATGTCAGCTAACAGTTCAGTATTCGTTATTTATAACGAAATTTTCTTGTTTCTTTGATTGACCTTTGGGAGACATCTTTATTCCATTCCTATGCTCTTTTCCGATCTTTAAAACTTTCTTTCAAATGATCCGTCGACTCATATTCCAACTTGCTCCATATGCCATGTCCCTTCGAGATGTAGGTAACCATAGCCCTCCGCAACTTCCTATCCTTTGTAGCTTCTAGTAAGTTTTGTCTCTTCGTTCTCCCTACCAATCCCTGTTGTGCTATCCATTTTCACAGGATTATGGCTCTCTATAACACCTTTCAACAATAGGGCCACATCATTGGTCACGATCACCAATTAACATAACGCTTTTTGGCCGCCGCCTACACCGAGTGGTGGCAGCACATTTCGTGGTCGGGTCCTCAAGGTCTTAGGGCAACGTTTTAACCAC